GTGAGGGTTCCTGTGACCGAGTTCGGATGCCTATAAAAAGAATCTCATCGATTTGTAGGCTATCTATTCGTTACAGTATTTTTTTTTAACTGTTCATTCTACAATCACCAAGCTTCTTAGGAATTGTCATTATCGCGTGCATGCTCGTTTACCCGTTTAAAAATAAAACGTCCCCACATGCGCCTCTACGCGCAGATTTTGGCTAGACTTTAGAGGTTGCAGGCGGTCTCTTCAGGCGGCACAACTGTCTTTGTATGCAACGGGTCCACATCAAGCGCCCTACGACGTAGCGCGTTCTCGGTGCCCTACAGCCGCTAATTTTCGGACCCGATCCCTTGGCTAGGTTTCATATAGTTCTTGTTTGTTTTAATGCGAAAGCATGAACTGGGGGGGGGGGGGGGGGGAGGTTTTATGGAGCGAACCGGCGTTTTCAGCTTTTGAAGACGCGCCAAACGGCACCTAAACTTCCCTGTCCCAATGGAGCGAATCCTATCGTCTGTAGCAGCGATTTGAATGATAGGCCTCCATTGGCTGGCGCGCGTCATAGTTTCAAGGAACGCCACCCCCTGGCGCTGCGGGACCCTCGCCGGCTTTGCTCGCCGGTAAGTAACACGGTGGCGCGCGCTCGGTCGCTTCTGCACCTTTCGACGCCGAAGAACATGGCGGTGCCTCAAGCATCTACATCGGCGGCGGCCGAAACCTCGGCAGTAGCGAAACCTGCCCGTCCAAGCAAGTACACCACGGACAAACTAAGGGAGCGGAATAACGCAGCAGAACGAGCGAAGAGGCAGGCCGCCGAATCCACCATTGTTGTCAATTCTCCGAATGCACGGCGGGCGGAACGAGCAGAGGTGGAACGTGCTAGGAGAGAGAACAAAGCCTTTCGAAAGCGTGAGGCGCAAGTGAATCGCGATTCAAAGCTTCTCAGGCGTCAAGAGGTCGAGGCCCTTCGACAACGCGAGCGGAAGCAATACGTCGCAGGCGTATTGTGCTTAGGTGTTCTCGTACCTTTCTCTTTAGAAGTGGCTTTACTAAGCAAAGGTTTTATGGGTTCTTAGCCTGTTCATATATGCAGGGTGTTTCACGAAAGGTGGACAAATTCGATATTGCGAAAACTAGTACACGTCGCAACAAAACAAGGGTTGTGTCGTTTTGGTCCTGGGCCAAGGGCCTATTTAGGAAAATTATTAAAGTTTTTTTTAAAAATTATTTTGGCGTAATCGAGTTTTTAATATTGTGTTTAAAGGCATGGTTTCAATGAGAAAATTGCTCAGCAACATCGAAAAAGACTAAATCAACAAACTGCAGAACGATTGAAGGCACGCGCAGCATTTTACGGCTTTCTGAAAAAAGAAAACGCACAAATTCGACGGGTTTTTAAGGTTCGTTTTGCGATCGGAGCGCTTCTCGGCCCCGACGGAACCACGCCCCGTGGAGAAATAGTGCAACCAGCCTCTGCTGCGTTGCACGAGGACAGCGCAACAGAGGCTGGTTGCACTATTCCTCCACGGGGCGGGGTGCCGTTGGGGCGAAGATGCGCTCCTATTGAAAATTGAAACCTAAAAAGCCGTCGAATTTGTGCGGTTTTTCAGAAAGCCGTAAAATGCTGCGCGTGCCTTCTATCTTTCTGCAATTTGTTGATTTAGTGTTTTTCGATGATGCTGAGCAATTTTCTAATTGAAACCATGCACTTAAACACAATATTGAAAAGTTAATTAGGCAAAAATAATTAACAATATAACTATCCCGGATTTTAACAATTTTCATGAAGAGGCCCCTGGCCCAGGACCAAAGCGACACAAGCCTTTTTTTGTTGCGACGCGCAGTTTTCGCAATATCGAAATGGCCACTTTTCGTGGAAGACCCTGTATATATATAGAGAGAAAGCTTGGTAAAATGCTTTTCTAAAAAAAAAAAAAAAAAAAAAAAGAAAAACAATGAGCATGATCTTGCTTGTACTTCGTTTCTCGGCAACACAACTTATTAGCGATGTGCGCGACCAAAAGCGTCGCTGCGGTCAGCTTTCCACGATTGGCCAAACCATGGGATATGAGCATTGTCAGATTGTCAACTTTGACGGTGTTAGTTTCGGATTGCGATGGCTCCTAGGTCCCACTGCGCTTTTTAAACACATCACCGAACTCGTCATCGCACCCGATGGTAAGTAGCCAGGATAACAACTGGTGACGTGACGGCGAGGCAAATCCCAGTCGTGACGTCACGGATGGAAGCCCTAAGAGGGCGCCACCGAAACATCTCGGCGCTAATAGCAATCAAGGCCGAACTAAAAAAAAAAAGTTGTTTTAAACTAATTATGACAATACCAAATTGTTTTTGTACAAGCCCGATGGGAATTACAGCATTAAAATGTAGTTAATTAAACTTTACATTTAGAGTAATTCCTTTTTTTCCGCATTGTTATCGGTGATCCGGCGAATTGATCTGTCAGTGTGCCATGTTAAAATGTATACAATGGTAAAGCATAACTTTTTTGGCTAGAATAGTTTATATAAAATAATGTAATTTAAACAAACAATATTTTATTTAAAAACTGTAAAAAACGAGGTTTTGTTTTCATTTTTTGATTAACGTATACAGTGTCCAGCGGCGTTTCTTCATTTCCTCTCGATTAAGAAAAAATTCTTCCGCCTCGCGTTGTCGAAGGGCCTCGCCGTCTTGTCGACGCTCTGAATCTCAATCCGCTTGCGCCTCACGCTTTCAAAATGCTTTGTTCTGTGACTTCTGTCTCCTAACGCGTTGCTCCGCTGCACGTTCCGCCCGGCGTGTATTCGGAGACTTGACAACGATGGTGCATTTCGTTGCCTGCCTCCTCGCTTGTTGTGCTGCGTTATTCCGCTCCCTTATTTCGTCTGCGGTGTAATTTCGCGGAGGGGCAGGTTTCGCTACTGCCGAGGTTGCGGCCGCCGACGAGCTATGACGCGCGCCAGCCAATGGGAGCGTATCCATCGAATCGCTGCTGCAGATGACAGGCTTCGCTCCATTAGGACAGGAGAGTTTAGGTGCCGTTTGGCGTGGCTTCAAAAGCTGATAACGCCGGTTCGCTCCATGAGACAGTCCACGATTTGCATTAAAAAAAAAAAAAGAAAAATTTGTTAACGAGTCCTGCAACAGGAGCGTAACACGGTACTTTATAGGTTGTCTGTTTTTCTCTCCAAGAGGAAAGCTAGCTCAAGGTTCGCCTTATGGAGTCCGGCTGTACTCTCCTGCAACTGGCAATATTCGCTCACCAGCGCTAAAATCGTTGAAAATTTTTTGATGACGTTGATATCTTCTTTTCTTTTTTACATTTTTTCGGATCACAGTTTCTTCACTCACCGACAGACTCCGGAACAACTGGCAAACAAACGAACCAGCAAAAACGTACTAGGTATAACTTCGGACTAGTAGACAAGCATTCCTTCAAAACAGGATGGTTTCCGTCTCTGCGTTTTGTTTGAAAGCACGCGCAGAAGACGCCTCACCGAGGAAGGTGTTGTACTCAAGAAAGAAGAAAGAGCCAAAATACTATTGAAACCCTGGAACACCAGGTTAATGCCGGATAATGTAATATGAACGGTGGAACCTTGATCCGGTTACGCAAGCCCGAGCACGTCGAATTCCCCTTGGCCGGTCGTATAGTAGTTCTTTGCTACGTTGGGGGGTCGGCGCGGCGGATGCAAAAGAAGGAATGCGATAGCCTGCAGCTTCCCGTCTTGGGATTCTGGTTAACCCAATTTGGATGCACTGCTCCGAGAAAACGAGCGCCCGATGCCGGAGTCGTATTGCTCCGCCTAGCCACTCGTGCGCCCATAACGCTGTCCGTGCCGCTCAGCAGATCTGTTGCTCGACTTGGGCCCGGCTGAGGGGAGGAGGATATGCCTCTGCATGCTGCTAGGTCTGCAGTTGTGCGTTAGTGCGCGAAACGTGCACGAACGGAAGAAGCCTCTACACTTTTCTCCATCAGGAGTGTCTTGTGACTCCTTTCCCTGAAAAAGAAGAAGAAAAAAAAGTATCTTTCGGAAGGGGAAGAACGATTCCGAGACGCCGTCGTGCAAAAAGGAATGTGTCCCAACGTTTCGCAGGACGTGGACGTGGCGCCTTGCGTTGTCTTTCGAAAATATAAAAGATATAAAAGAGGCCTAGGAAGAGTTTGCCGACAAAGCGGAAATAAAGTACGAAGGAACTTTTAAATGGAAACAAATAGGTATGTTTGTTTCTTAAAACTTGCGTATTTCGGGGTACGTGCTTTCCTCCTCGTGGATGCTCGCGTGGCGTGACACGCTGTCACGATACAGAAACGGAGAATAGATTGTATCTAGAACGTATTATGGCGTATATTTATATATTCTTGGGTGTGCGATTTATGAAAGCAGAGTATTGTATTGAAACAATGCCCGTATATCCGAAACTTAAGACTCGTGCATTTGATCCCATGGCACTCTGGCTGCCATGAGTTGCTTCAGCCTTCGGTGCCCATTTGAAATGGTGCTGGCTTCCGCTTCGCTTCTTCGCGTCCTTTCTGATAGGGTGGCGCTCGGATCGGTTAGAGTTGCGAATAGCTGCGCATATACTGATATTTGGGACTGCTTTTTCGTTGAACCTGAGAAAGCTGTACTATCCCTAATTGCAAGAAAAATAGGGTTTGGTGGATACTAGCTGCTGTAATGCTTTAATTATATTCAATATCTCCTAGGTATCGCGTATGTATATTTGTATGCCTTGATCGTGCGATGTAAATATAAATTTGCACCAGGGGTTGCTGTACTTGTTTAAATTTTTTTTATATATGTATTGTCGACATGCCGTTACTAATATGCGCTAAATTTCGTTCTAAATATGCACAAAATATCCACACAGGCTAATGGGAATTCGAATCATTACTTTATCTGAATTAACGTATGATGACATCTACTACGACATTTATATTTATGACATACAGTCACGCGAATTTCTTCTTTCAAATTCGTCCAGGATTCACGATGAAGAAGTAAAAAACATACCTGGGTTAGGTGTCGTGCTTGACACCTCATCTGTGCTTTGAAGGCTCACTTCTGACTCGGAAATCGAAGACCATGGTGATGACGTTGAAGCACATCTAGAAAGCCACGCCTGGAGAAGTTCTGTCCGATAGCAAAAGAGAAATGATTTTACTCTGTAAGAACAGCAGACAATAGGCAGATTCCCCTGCCCACGCTAACATTAAGAATTCTATTGTGTGTGGCGACACTAAGCTCACACCCCTGACTCTCAAGCGTTTCATTCGGCATGCTTTGGTTCGTTGATGATTTAATTATTTGTCAAAAGGTTTCAAAATGATTTAGCGGCGTGGGTATCAGCATTACCACAAAACTCATATTTCGGACATTGTCAAATCGCGGCGTATTTGTTCCCCTAGTTCCATTTCCTTTTCAAATCGACGTGAGTAATCTACCTTTGCATGAGCCCGCTTCGTTTTAGAGATACTTATACAACGTAAATCATGCTACTCTCTGATGCGTCCTGGTTAATGGGGCCCGTTCTCTGGAATTCTTTTATGCCGCTATCATGAACGGCGAGGCGTGGATTATTGTCATTGCGACCTTTTTTTTTGTAGTAACCGGTTTGTGACTGCCAAGTGCCATGCGAGTCTGCGACCTCAAGCGCAAAGCAGTAAAGTGAAAAGATACTCTGCATTTCTTGCACCTATTTAGGTGACTACGCTATCTCGAAGTCTCCAGTTATACGACCCCGAAATGCACTGAGAGCACCTAGCGTTCGTGTCCCTTTCATTAGTACAACCAGCGAGAAGGGTAATGGGCATCATGCACAAATAGCCACGTGATCTATGCGAACGCATATTTCAATCACCTGACATAATAACGTGCTTCAATAGCCAAACTTGCCATGTTCTCCTGGTGTATCGTTGCACAGTATGTACTCAGGATGATCGGAAATAGTAGATGACTGAAGTTTCACATGACTGACTCTCTGACTGTATCTACTTTAAGGTATATTCAAAGAACACACGCCTAGAGGAATCAAACATCACATGGTAGCCTAAACCGTATTGCTTCAAACGATTTATGATTCAGCAACCGAGTCATCTAGGTAAAATATTGAGGAGTATATATTTCTCAGAACTTCTGGAGTTAGATCAGTCGGCATATAGCATCCGCTTCCGTTTGTGGAAGGCGGACCCTTAGCGCGGATCACTTCCGTGGAAGAGGCACACTGACCTGTCGAAGGTGCTCCCAGGGCGTAATGTAGCTCCTCTTCGAAATGGTAGGAAGCCTTGAATCCTTGACCAGGAAAGTGACTCCTGCTGATGAACTCCACGTACATGTCCGGTCCCGTTGAAAGCAGCTCGACGTAGTAGTTCGTGTTACAAAACTGACCGATGACCCGAGCGAGCTTGTCTTTGCCGTCGTGCACTACGATCATGTCGGGGCTGTTGAGACAGCTGCAAAAAGCACAAAATGCGAATGAAATTTAGACATTATCTGTCCCATATAAGGCAGAAAGTTAGTTGAGAGCACGGCAGAGGTTTTTTGTTACATTGGGTCTACAATGGCAAAGTCGGCGTGAGGTTGCGGGTGTCTCGTTGGCAATTTCAAACCGTTATATGAAAATATTCATGTTAAGAGGTGCCTTTCTTTTAAGTTCAGTGTGTACTAAAGTCGAAAGTGAAGTTTCGCGGTAAACCTAAGTGACCCATGTCCCAGAAATGACGTTTGTCCAAATAGACCACAAAGTAAAAGCGATGCAGTAAATGTATTTTTAGAGCTTCCGCAGTAAACTTAGTATTATTTTATTTATGTTTAGAAGCTTGAGTCAACTATACTCTCGGTGGTTTGAGTTTTTTTTCTTGCTATCTGATATGCTTCGTGCTTTTGTATTGAAGCCATGTCATTTTTGATTAAGTCCTATAACATGTCCTTATGCAGGGCCGGCGTTAGGCATGGGCGAGCGGGGCGGGCGCTCCGGGCCCCGCGCTTACGACAGGGCCCCGCAAGTGACAGAGGGGCCCCGCGGTCACTCGCCGGTTGAACTTTTTGTAAAATTGCAACATCGCCACTACAGATAACTTTCATTGCTGAATTTTCCAAAGGCAAAAAAAAAATAGTTAGCTGACCGACGGGCGCGGAGCCCTTCGCCAATTTCCGGATTGCTCCACCCGGACAGAAAAATTCCTGTGTTACAAAACTAACCTCTCCTCGTGGAGTTTTCCAAAGGAAAAAATAGCTGGCCGACGGCCGCGGGGCCCTTCGCCAATTGGCAGACTGTTCCACCCGGACAGAAAAATGCCTGTGTTGCCACAATGCCACCCGGACTGTTCCATCCTTTTAAGTTTGCAGACAGGCAAAAGGTCCGCTCCCGCCTGTCTCCACATACAGCACGCGGTGAGCCAAGCACGGCGAATGATGACGAAAATATACTTTTACAAAAAGTATATTTACATTACAAGACGCGCTGCAATGTATATAAAAATTTTCAAGAAAGAGCTTTTCGATAGCGCCATCATGGACGTGGCACGTGCCGTGTTAGCTCTCCGAAGCGATGAACTTGCCCGTCCTAGACTGTGTGATATTCCCATTGGGCTGGGCACTTGCGTAGTGTATTGTTGCTTTTCTTCATATCTTCGTATAGTCTATGTTTTGTAATGTTATTTTCTCGTTTTCCTCGTTGTGACTTTATGGCTGGCGTGTGTCGATAGCACCTTTGTAATTGCTCAGTTCTCTGTTCTGTTCATTCATTGCATATATAAAAAACCAAGCCAATCTGCACATAGCACTACTGAATAAATACACACCAGAGATATCCCGCATGATAATGTGCCCGTCTCGTTTTTCTTCAAGTTTAGTATAAGCGATGTTATTTTCAAATTTCAGATTTTGCTTTTTAAACTTTTGTTGACTTTCTTTTTTTTTACTTTCTTGCCCTGGGCCCCGCGTTATGTAGCGCCGGCCCTGTCTTTATGTCCACATTATTGCAATAAATCAAATTAATATATATAAATATTAGCACGTCACCTGTTCTGCCTTCGTTCTCGCTCGAGATACTGAAAGGGGTTTGATGTTGTTTAATAAAAAGTGTCCTCAGCCTTTGTATAATATTAAACTAATGTCTCCGATTCGTTTTGCTCGGGGGGATTTTCTAATGGTAGGATACCTAAATTCTAGTTAATAACAACAGGGAGGTCACAAAAGCAGAAAATGGTTTGAAAAGAGTGGGTCTTTAAAAAAAAGGTGATCCTAAATGTACTTCGAAATTGCTCAACTCTTGTGTGCTTTGATATATAAAATTATTTCTGCCGACATGATTACATAGAAACAAATATCAACTGCAAAAAGACAACTACCCGGTTTGTGGGAAATCGAAAAATGAGCCGTTTGGGGCAACAGTTGCCTGTCTATTTGTTGTTTCACAGCAGTGTTGAGAATAACAAGTACCTAAAGTTTTCTCACCTAATGTTTTTTTTTCAGTTTTTAATAAGGTACATTAGAAATGCAAACGTTTTTAACTTTTACTGGTTTGTTTTCTTCTTCTGTGTTTCAGGGTTGAAACTTTCTTAGCTGAAATGTTCTCGGCAAGAAAATAAAAGAGGTGTCAAGACTGCGAAACAGATAAATTAGCGAGACAACAACAGTTCCAAACTAAAACAACGACCAACATGATTTCTTTCCATCAAGAAATGTCAACTAAACGCACGCAAAAACGAATGTTAAAGATGAATCCCCACCGAAGATGATCACGCAAACCAGTTACATTCAAAAGTCTAGATTGTCATTACCAAGACATCAAGCGAAAGCGATCCACTAAAAGCATTTACGTCCTTGGAAGGCAACCCCAACAAGAATAAAGCGCTCAAGAACCGAGTTCGCACAACGAAGAACACGAAAAAAAGGCAAATAAAGTGGGAGAAGTTTTTGTTCGATGCACGACGCATCCTACGAACGCCTGTCAAAAGAGAACGGCCGGCGCCTTAACGCGTTATTTGCAGAGTGTGGCGCGGAGCTCGCTTCGCCGAGTCGCCGCTCAAAGATGAATGCATTTGAAGCTCGAACGTGCGTCGTTCGTAGTCTCGACACGCAGAAAGGGCCCTCTTTTTTTCTTCTGTAAAACGTACCCCGAGTTGAAGCAGAGTGTAGCTCGAGCTTTCACAACGAAGCACAACAGATGCGCGTTCTTCCAGAGCGGCGGAGATAGAACCGAGGAGAAAATATTGCTCGTGGGCGAAGAGGGGGCGCGAGCTCACGTCATGCACGACTCATCGAACTGAGCGAATTCATCTTCCGTTCCATAAAGGAGCGCTTGGAACGAAAGGCACCTTAGGCGCGATATAGTCGCTCTCAAGCGCAGCCCACCCACACCGTTCTTCCTCCAAAACGAGGCAATCAACTTTAAGTGTCTTTCGAAAAGCTGAAATCTATTCACGGTCTTTCCTTTTTTCTTTTTGTGGCTGTTTTGCGTTTTAGTTGGTCGGTCGCTGGGGAGGACATGAGGAAACCACCCCGCACTATTCCTTTTCGCGCCAGCGTGCGACGATGATTTATAAAACGCCATTTTGGGAAGCAATGAAAGAAAGAGGTACGCGATAACCTTTTTTGGCCGGGAACATCGAACGTACCCGTAAGGACTCGTTAAAGAAAAAATCATAAACAAATATTGAAAATAAATGCGCGATTGGTTGTTAAACTACCAAAAAATCTACTACAAACGTTGGTATTTAAAAATAAAAATTTGTAAAGGAAGAAAGTGCCCGTTTTAGGGGATGGACTTGGTAGGAGATAGCGCGTATTACTTGCAGCACGCGTTTCGCGAGCATATATATATATATATATATATTGGGGGGAGGGGGCGGGCTCTAAAATAAAGGTTGCAAAATGGGCTCAAAAGTATTACAGACAGAGAATGTGAAGGCCCGAGAGGGCAGGAAGACTGCGGACGAACAATCGAAAGATGAAGAGAGGTGCAGAAAGTCGATAACTGGGAAGTGGGGCTGTGGGCGGAACCGGGTAAGGAAAGGAGAACGTGATCAGAGAGTACATGCACGGGTCCTTGGGCACTTTCGGACGTCGCACTAATGGCCCGGAGAGGGACAGCGTGAGTTATACAGCCGGCCGCCGCCTTATCGCCCCATTCCAGATGTAGATAAGTGCAATGGCCTTTTGGAGGACTGCCAGCGAACGCGTATAGGTGCGAGTATACTTTCCCGAAAGAAGCCCGCAGAACATCATTCGGCACGACGACCGCACTTCCTATACTACGTCTGACTAGGAGCCGGGCTAAGAGTGTTAAGACTTAGGTCAAACAATCGTAGTAGTTGTTCCCCATCACGTTTGGATTAAAGAACTGAAAACAAATTTTTCCTACGCGCCTTAGGTCTTTAGTAAGGAAAATGTGAAACAATAAACCCTTTTCGACTAACCTTCTGCGCATGCGTGCATCTCCTCCCCTGGCACTGCTTCCCGCTGTCGCCATTTTCGCGGGGCAAGCTTACGGTCTATTAACATATTAAGCACCTAACTTTGCGCGTATTTAGTCTTCTAGAGCGCAGCTCTTAGGTACCTGTTTCCGGGTTGAGCGGCGTCGGTGTCGGCGTAACCGCGCGTTGTATTATGGGACGTTTCCCCGCTAAATTCAGGGGAAATATTTCCCCACTAAATGGGAGGGGAGCAGGAGGGAAGTGGGAAGAGGGGCATATTCTCTCTCCGTACCCTTCCCCCTCCTCCACAACAGCTGCGCTCTAATTCGGTGTTACAGAGAATTGCAAACGTCTTTCATTTTTTTTTTATTCTTGTTTGACTGTACGCTGCTATGAGGCATAAAAAGCAACGAAGATCAATACAACTGTATGATGCGATGCCCTTGTATTCTGACGCGCGGAGGCAAGTTGGGCTGCCCTCATGGCCTTCGAGATCCCGAAGCGAGCGCGCGAAAGCTTCTCCGGCCGTCCGATTTGATTCGCGCCCCAGCAGTACGAGTGTTGTCTAGGACTTTTCGGTGTAGGGCGTTTCGGTGTAGGACGTTTCGGTGCGGACTTTTCGGTGCACGGACGTTTCGGTGCACGGATTTCTCGGTGCGCGGACTTTTCTGTGCACGGCAATCCAAATCACGAAGTTTTTAGTTTTCTCTAAACGTAATAAGCACTATTTCAACTAAAAAAGCATTTTTTCACACTTAATAATTTTCTAGACTTGGTCATCCATTTACGGTCACTTACTGATATACGACCTAAGTGACTTTGTTAGGCGCAGTACCATCCTGCGTGAGCAATGGAGACGTTGGACTTTAAGGTTCGTTTTCCAGTGTCTCTTTTCCAACCTACGCACTAGAAGCACCACATCGTGATTACGCGTTGGTTCGATAAAGGCGTTCTTGGCGTTTTCTGAATGGGTATGGGCTTTCTTATTGGTAATCTGTGTGAGAAAGGCCGAAACAGCAAGAAGCTCGATAATG